TGCAGCCCCCCTCAGCCCCCGCCGCTGCGAGCCGAGCGGCGCGCTGGCAAGCGGGCAGCCGGGGCTGTAAAACGCCGGGGTTGGAGGAAAGGGCGGAAGGCCGGCGGTCCTCCGCAAAGGGAAAAAGAGGGGGAAGACGCTTTTCCTCTCACGTTTTTGGAGCGATCTTCCAGGCCGGGGAAAACCGGGGGGCGTTCGTGGGGGCGAAACGCCAGCAGGGCTGCCTGGCGGTACGGATGCGTGGGCTTACCGTCTTGCTCGCCTGCTGCTCTCAAGGGTAGCTGCGTCAGGAGAAACGACAGGCTTGTGGGATGGATGAACGAACAGTAGTTCGGCGTGCTGTGTAAATAATGAGAAATAACGGCGCTTCTCTTCTAGGATATGTCTGCCTATGTGAAAAAAATTCAATTCAAGTTGCATGAAAGCTACGGTAATCCTTTAAGAGGTGGGTTTTGCATTTGGGCATTTGTTCCTAGAACTGGGATTTTGATTCGTTCCACTGAGGCGTTATCACCCGTATTAACACTTGTGTTTCCTGCTGCAGTTGTTACCAAACCACCGTACGAAATCACCGAAACGGGCTGGGGTGAATTTGAGATAATCATTAAGATATTTTTCATTGATCCAAATGAAAGACCTGTAAGTACATTGAACTTTTAACAACACTTAATTAATTATGGTGGCCTGAAGCCGCGCTGTAGTATATCGCTGGTCGAAATGAGTCCCATCAGCCACGGAAGCAACGAAGCCCGTTCTTGTAGGAAATGTACTCAATGATTGGCCGCATTTTCCTGTTCCTGTGCTTTACTGCTGGCATTCATGACTGCTTTTCCTGCGCTTGGCTGCTCTGACGTTTTCTAATGCGTGAGCCCATGTTGCACCTTACCTGGGTTGAGCACATACTGAGGATTTCTCTTCCGTGTAGTTTCCTAGGTCTAGGAGACTTGAATGTTTTGATTATCTTCTTTTTTTTTTTTTTTTTTTGGTCTATCAGACTTGGTCAAAATCAGTCAAAAAGCAGCAAAGGTATTATGCTAGCATTAGTCTCTTTCTTAAGAAAACCAGGTTAAGACACTCCTCTGGTTGAATAAAGTGTTGGAAGGAATTTCCTTCTTCCCATCTTGTGCTTTAGACGTATCTTGCGGGTTTGTTTATCCCAGTTTAGGCAGGAAACTCGATTACCGTATTCTAGGGGAAGGGGATGTTTATTTCTGGAAAGACCGAATTCCTTCTGTCGCATGAACTACAGCGATCCTTTTGCTTTTAGCCATTTTTTGCCAAATGAGGAGAAAACTGAATTTGATGTTTTTCTGGAATATGTGAGACTTGATATGAGACTAGAAGGGACTTCCTGCGCTGTCGTGCTCGGTAGCACCCTGACCTGTCATACTGATTTCGTTCACAGCTTGACCAAGCTGTCTTAAAGTTGGTTGGGTGTTTTTTCTGTGCCGCTGTTCTTGGAAGGCTGTTTCGGTGCCTGTCGTGCTCTTCCTTTCCAGGAAGTACCAACCGGAGTAAGGTATCGCTCCCTTCCACGACCGTTCACGGGCCCGTTCGTGCGAGGGAAGAACTGTGGGCGGTGTGCCCCCTTCCCAGGTCACGGTCCAAGTGGTCGGTGGTTCCTCAGGGCTGGACAGAGAGAGGGCTTCCGTTCCTCTCCAGCTCCCGCCGTTTGCAGTGCAGTAATGGAAGAGTAACTCTGCAGAGAGACATTTCAGTGAAAAGCTATTTGCAGAGCCCCCCCCTTCCCCCCCCCGTTGTTTTTCCGTCACAAGAAGGGATGATAAGGTCACAGAAAGCACTTTCTAACTGAATAATTTGGAAAGCCAGCTGGAACTACATCACCTATTTGGAAATGTTTACGAGAAGGTGGTCTTAGTAGTTTTTATGCACCAATTCTAAACCACTTGCCCAGACATTTTTAAAGTATCAGGAAGCCTTTGGACGGTCGGTGTGTTTAACGCTGAATATTACATTCAAGTAATTCTGCTGAAGTTATATCACATTTAGTTTTGCACCCCTAAAAGATTTTTAAATCCTATACAATTGTTTAGTAAGAACAAATACTACTTGCTGATATATAAAAGAAGATTTGTATTTTTTTTACACTTGTCAAGCTAATAAAATTCTGTCTTTGCATAGGTAACCTTGTATCACTTGCTGAAGCTTTTTCAGTCTGATACCAATGCCATCCTGGGAAAGAAAACTGTGGTTTCTGAATTCTATGACGAAATGGTATGAAAATTTTTAACGTAGTCCTCACTTTATTTTGAAGAGTATTAGTGATAACCACGTGCTTTTCTCCTTCATTAGATATTCCAAGATCCTACTGCAATGATGCAGCAGCTGTTAACAACGTCTCGTCAACTAACGCTAGGTGCTTATAAGCATGAAACAGAGTGTAAGTTGAAAATTAAAATATTTTAATTTTAGAAATAAACAATAGTTGGTTTTTGCCTTCAGTGTTTTTTCTGGGCTGTAACAGTAGAATGGATTTGGATGCTGCTAAAAAGTGATATTTTTGCATTAAATTAGCTTCAACTTTGCAAAGATATTAATACTTATTTGAAAACCTTTAAGATTGTCTGATCTGTAAGCCTGCTGAAAAAAAAAGCAATTGTGAATTGCTCAGTGTGAAGAGCGATGGCATGATCTACACCTAGTTTAACATCTTTGAAACGAGTTAAAACGGAGAATAAATTAAGGCCACTGTATTAGTGGTACAGTTCTGTTCAGCTCATCGGGATGTTAACTGCAAGCAAAGATCACTCTTTAAGCACTGAAATACGGAACGGTTAGTACTGTTTTAGCGAAGGCAGCAACCGTTTCAGGATGAAGAGTAGTGTCTGAAAGCTCTTCCTGTCTTTTTCCCTTCTGTCTAATTCTGTAACGGTAGGTCATTTCATAACATACTTCTTCATTATAGCTTAATGTTCTTCACGTCCTTCTGATCTAATCTGTCTTTAAATATAAACCAGAATATTAAGGGAATTAAAGAAATTAAATGAAAATACATTGATTCATAAAATATAATGCATTTATTGATGGTTTCTGTTCTCATCTTCTGAATTTCATCTTCTGTTCTCAGAAAACAAATGTAGTATTTATTGAGCCCAAATCCTGCCTTGTTAGTTACAAACTCTAATGCCATCATAGTCCGGCTCACCTGGCCTTTGGCGTATCTGCATGTTCCCCTGACAACAAATGTCAGGTATTTTTAAGCACT